TATAATATGTGACACATCATCTGGGGGGGGGGTGGGGAAATGCATCTTCCCTGAGATCTCATAAGATCTTGCTGTTTACAGATGAGATTTCCCAGGAAAGCACTGTTGATGTAGCCTTTCCAGGATGCATCTGTGAAGCCAGGGCTACATCACCAGTGTCTCACTCAGTGTCCCCATTGGAAGTAAAAATTTGGGAATTTATTTCACTATCATGTTTTAGCCATAACAGTCACCAGGACTAATAGGGAGGGTGAATCTTCCTAACACAGACAGCAAAAAAGAAAACCCTCACAGGTCTTCTAATCCCTCTTCAAAAAGTTTTGGATTCAGATGGACTTTCAGTTCATATCCAGCTCTTCTCGGTCTTTTGGCTAAGATCAAGTGTAGTATCTGCCCCTATCATTTTTTTAGGGAAGAACAGTGTTGTCACTTGTCCAGGGGAATGGCAGTCTAGTATTGCCTGGAGTAATAGGTGAGTGCTGGGGGGGGTTTCTAACCTGGTGTACCAGGCTAGTCCCCAGTTGTTGGCAGGAATCCCTCAAGTTCTAATGCCTGAGGAATGGGACTGCCCTTGTCTGGTCAGGGGCTGGAAGTGCAAGGAGCTCTCAGTGATGTGCCCCCTGGGGTTGGTGTCCCAGGGGTGCCAGAAAAACATAATGGATTTGGGACCCAACAGTTTGGCAAGTGGCACATGGTCACGTCACCATGTTGTTTTTCTTGCATATGCCCTCTATGCAGGCTTTCTGGCTAGTCTGGAGAAATTTATATACCGACCACAAGGTGTGCCATGCCCTGCACTTGGCACTTTTTATTTTAAATATTGAATGTATTGCACGGGTACCTTTTTACTCCACAGAAGATAAAGGGTGCAGATCTTTCGGGGCTTGCCCTGATGTTGGGGGGAGGATTTTTCACAGGTCTTTTCCTTCCCCCCCAGGGGTCTCTTTTTAGGAGTGCCCCGACCGAGTACAAGGTGGACTTGCTGCGGCTGGTCCCTAAGGATTAGGGTCTGTCTGGCTTAACCACTAGGTGGACCAGAGTGCCGTGCCCCTGTCAGGACACATTGGGGGTTTCAGGGATATTGTGGCCCTCTTTTTCGGAAGAGGACCAAGCACCCTAGTGCACTTCTTTGTGTGCTGTGATTTCACAGTTCGCTTTTTTTGTAACGATGCATGCACTGTGGAGCTTAAAAAAAAAAAAAGTTTATCCAGTCAATTTTTTTTTTAAGTTTTGGATAGGGTGGGGAAGAATAAGAACCCCTGTCAGGTTTTTACTACTCTGCGGGGCTCTACTCATTTACTCTCACAATGACATTGCTTGCACCAGACAGAAGGTGATGGAAAATCTGCTACAGGGGTGCAGGCAGCAATGAAAATCTGACTAAGGATCTAGCCTTCCCCTATCATACCTATTAAAAGGATTTTTATTCCGGTCTATGTTGCTGTTGGAGATTTTGCTCGGTGAAATCATTGGCACCAGGACAGTAAGGGGAAATCTCTCTAACAAAACACTGTATCGTGGTAAAAAACTGACAGAGGTTTTAGTTATCTCACATTTTAGTATCACATTATCAAGATCAGATATTATAGCTACACAAGTCACTTCAAGACAGGGGACAGAGGCTAAAAGAGATCATGTTTCCACTCTATGTTATTATACCTAGAATCTACAAGTAGAACAGGTGGACAGACTGTCTTTCTCTTCTGCTAGCAGTTCAGTTCTAGGTGCACGGAAACAAAGTGGGTGAACTGTAACTACACAGCAGCAAGAATGATAACCCATCCGTATTGCAATGGCAGTCGGAGTGACAGTTCAGAACCCTTCATTATACATCTGAATGTGTTACTGACGCTCAGGAAGAGTGGGAAGCTTTGTGCCACCCCTGACATCTAGACTGTGCCTTTTGGCACTGCATGAAAGAAATACTTTGTGAAATGTTATGTGGCTGTCATGCTAATTCTTCAGCTTCACTACTTAGTAAATCAGTTAATCTAAACAAAAAGGAAGCTAATGAAGTTAACGTTCAGACTCGTGACTCACTAAGTAGTGAAGCTGAAGAATCAGCATGGCAGTCACACAACCAGCAATTTTAGAAGGGAATTTTCTAATTGTTGATGGAGAACTCCTCAGCACTGTGAGGAGCTTGTAACCCAAGAGCAGTAAAACTATACCTACACATCCAACTTTTCTCTAAAGTCTATGGCCACATGTGACCAGCTGTTGAAGAATTTGCCTCAGCCCATTGTAAAAAGTTAGTTGCAGAATTAAGTAACAGCTACAAGGAAGGGTGCAAGACATTGTGCTACAATAGTGCAAACATTTTGTCCGGAGTAGTAAAGTCACTGACAGCTGCATTTCTGTAGGTCTAGGTAACACAGTGGACTCATTCAGGCCTTGAAGCTGTTGCAATATCTGAATTCCTTGTTCCCATATCATTGCCTGTGTTTGCTAAAAAAAATATAGTGGTGTTCTGTAAAATTAGGGAAAAAGAAAGACTGATAGTTTGCACCCAGCAACCACTCAGATGTCTGTGGAACTGGCCTTATAGGTAATTTTCATGTGAAGCGCATTCAAGCTGAGTAATATGGAAATGAAACACTGACAGAGAGTGACAGATCACAATGATGACAGAATCCCTACTTCCCCCCAAAAAACACAGTACAATCTTTGTACAGGTATCATCCAGGGTTAGCATTTACTTTCTTGACCAAGATGCTGGCCCAGGGATGGTACAATCATGTTCTTAACTTGTGTGTATGCACGTTATTTCACACTTCTCATCACTCTGTGACTTGCTAGAAAATTGCAATGTCCAATCTCAATGAGTTAAAGTACTGTCACTGGACTGGAGTTTAAAAACTGTTTGTTTTTTTTAAACAATAAAAGCCACACTCTAAAAAAAGTACATATACCGTTGCTGTATATTTGAACATCAGGAATGTATTCAGGCACACCTGCTGAGTTATGGCATATGTTATATGTTGCACATGACCTCTGATCTGTAGACAATCAAATAGTTCATAAATCCAGGGCAATGGACATATTGCATGATTCCCCTACCTTCTCCTGCAGGTTGCACCAGTTTGCATACACATCTGCAGGTGAATTGCAAATAAGAAATTGACTTCAAAAAGCTAAGTCCCAACATTTACCATGTCTGATTAAGAAATGTATTTACTGATCTTCTTCTAGTGTGTTTCCATCAAAGTGTTATTGAACCCTAACATTTTATTACAATTCCTAGCAGCTGACCTGGATACTTATACTCTACTTGCTCCTTTTCTGCTTTCAAAACTTTTCTTTCTTCCTAATTTAGCAGGTCTGTAGATCACTGCCCTAGGTTTCCCCTTGGATGGCTCCTTTCTCTTGTGGGTTCCTGGGTGAGGGGAGGGGTTGCAGATTGTATGTATCTCTGGTTCCGGTTCTGTCCTGCGTTCAGCCCTGCTCACCAACATCATTGGTTTCCAGATGCTGGGCAGGATACCAGTCAGAGCATCCCACTCAGCTCCTGGCAACCAGTGACATCAGTGAGCTGGGTGGGATGCCGGCCAGAGCACCCCCCAGTTGCTAAGAGCTCTTAGAAACCTGGTATACTCTGGCCGAAATGTGAGGCACACCTGCTGCCCCCCATGACACCCAGTGAGATGCCGCCTGAGGCAATCGCAATTAAAGTTACATAAAATAAATAGAAAAAAACCCCTCCTAAATGTTTTAAAGCCCGCCCCCACATACACGCACTTACGAATGTATCAGGTATGTCAACATATGAAAATGGCGATGACGTGCAT